CCTGCCCAGTTCTTAGTATTATCTGCCTGAGTCAGCCACCTGGCCTCAAGGCTGGGCATGAGTGAGAACTTGGAATCAACAAACTATAGCAAATGTAATTATCCCAAGGCAAGCCTGTATACTACTGACCCCTTAAGTCTATAAGGACTTAAGAGATTTTCCCTAGGACTCTCCAATATCTCCCCCTTTTTTGTTTGTTAATTTAAGTTCGCTGTAATTGACTCATGATTAGTTTGATGGTAGCATATATGAATCTCAAAAGGAATGGGAAACAAAAACAAATTAGGCCAATGCCATAATGGGGAGCATATGCAATAGCAAGGATATACGTGAAAAGGGTGAAAATTGGTGTAATGTGGACAGGATAATATTAGCTACTTTATTGGGGTCAGTCCCAAGGCAGGGACTGTTTTCAGTGCTGGAAGTAATATCATGAAGGGTATTAATATTGAGGGTAATATTAGAATCGTGCCAGGCCCCCAAAAGGCAGGCACGTATCTTGTCTCATGAGATATTAGGATCTGAAGCATCATAGGGGAGCAGGGTAAAGTAAATACATCAGTATCTATAATCACATCACAATAGCAACCTTGTTTTCAAGTTTCTAACTCATCTCCTAAATACAGTACTGATTGCTCTAATAAATTAACTTTATACAATATATCTCTATCAATAGCTTCTTGTACTTTAAGTGCCAAACTTATATTTTTTGCTAAGTCATTTACAAAGTGTGCAGTTTACACTTTGTGGTGCAATAGATGAAACAGTAGTGAATCCAATAAGAGAAACAACAGTGATTAAACCAGTAATAAGGAGACCAATAAATCGTTTTGATCAACTTAAGGAGGAAGTGATAATTTGAGGAGCATGTTCACCAGAGTTCTGGAACTATTCATGTGAGATGTTAGTAGGGAAAATAGCAAATGATGGTTGTTCTACCAAAAGTACAGTATAGTCATTATTTTCAATACATTGTTTGAGAGTACAATTGACACAAGTAACATTCTATTCAAAAGTAGTATTAGATTGAGTATAATTTACATATCCATTAGACAAACTGGTAGTAAAAGATGATGCAACAAGAGAAAGACAGAATTCAGTATTGTTGCGAACTTTTGTAAAACATATAGGTGACCTGGATGCTAGAGATCTGAGGGTAATTGTAACATTGGTTCTGTCCTGGAGGAAAGGGGTATTCTTGGCCTCCGAATATACGGGTGTTATTAGTATATATAGTCCCCAGTTTGTCCATATATGTGAGGGGTTGCAACCAGGGTGGAAAAGGAAAATAAGTCCAGTGCTGAGCACTCTGTACATTACACACTTGAGCAGAAAGTAAAGCTACAGTTGCTAAAAATACAAGTTCAGGAGTCTTCCATCACTTGATGAGAGAGAGCTTTCACTTGAACCCATGTGGGAAGACGACTGGGCACTATAGATAGGCTCATTCTGTGCTTTCCCTGAATCCTCATACTCTGCATTTGGGCTGTGAGTTGTGGTACATGCTTGGACATTTTTCTCCGGTATCCAGACAAGTTTATCAGAGTTTTCTGGAAAAACACAAGCATACCCTCGTCCCCACGTTAGTAATGGATCTGGGCCTCTGGATGTTTATTTTTCTCAAGGTGTTTTTCAGCTGGAGTGTACCCATCTTTGTTAATATTTTAAAAATTAAGGGTATATAATGTAATAGCCAATTGTCGGTGAGGGGTAATAGCCCAGATACCTCCTTTTTGTTTTAGAAGAATAGTTTTAATATCTTTGTTTTTGATTATATAGAATGCCTGTGATCAGAGAAATGTTATAAAAAAGTATAAAAGGAAGAAAATGCTTTGCTAATGTAAGTAGGAGCATTATCTGCTTTAATTTGTTTAGGTATACCCATTACTGAGAAGGCTTGTAAAATAGGATTGATTACGTGTTAATTGTTCCACTTGTTTGTAAAGTGGCAAAAGTGAAAGAAGAAAAGGTATCTTCTATAACATGAATATAAGAAAGCCTTTTAAAAGAAGGCGTATGAGTTACATTCATTTGTCAAATATGTTTGGGAGAAAAGCCATTGGGATTAATGGCAAAAGAAGGAAGATTAATAAAAGTGATACATTTGGAACAGCCTTTTTAAAAAAAATTATTCTTTATACTAGGTTTCTAATACTGTAGGGGTTTATTCAAAAATAATCACAAAATGTTATCCTCTCTACAGTTAATGTTGTTGCATTGGCAGAATGTAGTTAATAAAAGGCCTAATAAAGGCTTAATAAAAAGTTAAGTGGCAGCATTTTGGTGAAACTGGGAATGAAAATTAATAGCTTGTTGTATGATAGGGGTTAAAAGTGTTGGATAGAATTGTAGTTGAGAATCAATAATGGCATTACCTTTAGTAAGAGGTCTGGGCAAATTAGAATGTACTCGTATGTGAGTAATATGAAGAGGATTGGTATGAGAATGAATACGGGTTTGTAATTGTTGAAAAGGGGAATAGAAATCGGGGGACAATATATGGCTTAATTTTGCTGTTTGTGTATGTTGTGAAACATACACAGAATATTTACTGTCTGACATTAAGAGGTTCCGAAAAATTTTTTGAAAAAGGAGAATCAAAGCGAAAAGTTCTGCCTTCTGGGCAGAGGAAAAGGAAGTCTGAATTACCTTGTGAAGATGTTGAAAAATATAATAACCAGCTTTCGCACTACTTAAACTGTCCGTAAAAGCAGTGAGTGCTTGGGGCATAAGGGTGTATTGTATGAAGTTTGGGAAAATACAAAAATAATTGGGGAAAAAAGATAATATCTTAAGTGAAGGAAGATGATTATTAAGTTTACTCGTTAAATACAGAGAGGGGAACTTGGCAATCTTTAGAGGAGGCTGTTAGGGAATAAAGCTGTTGTTTTTTGTAGGGTTGATGAATAATGGGAAGAAAATGTCCTGACAGGTCTTCATAAATATCTTTTTGATAGTCGTTGAACTAATAATGCTACTATGGTAGTATAGGAAGTAAGTGAACTAGAGAATTGGTGAGGGACATAAATCCACTTAGTTAAACTAGCAGTTTGAAATAAGACTGTAGTAGGAGAAATAGGTGTGATTAATATAGCTGTTTGTACTTTCGTGGGGATTAATACGAATCACGTGGGCTTTAGCTATCTTTTATTCAACTAGTTTGATCTTTTGTCTGAGGTGTAAATATTCTTAGTGAGGTGTCTGAGGGTGGTAAAAAGATTGAATAATTGATTAGTGGTGATCTGCGAGGCAGGCTGAAGCTAATTAATATCTTTAAGAAATTTTTGAAAATCATTAAGAGTTTTTAAGGAATCTTGCCTAATTTGTAATTTTGGGGGTCTCTTTGTAGACTGTGAAACAATACGCCAATAGGGTGATTTCTTTTGTACTTTTTCAGGGGGAATTATAAGTCTGTGAAACTGAAGGGCTTGTTAAAGCTCGGGCATTAATAAGGAGAATTCGCTAGTGGTAGAACAACTGCAAAGTTTATCATCCATATAATGAATTATTTTTGTCTGGGAATATCTCTAACAGGTTTGATAGTGTTATGAATGAAATTTTGGCACATGGTAGGAAACATTCCTTCTTAAAGGAACACAATATGGAAACTTCAGATACTGATTTAATGGACACAACTACACCCAAATTCAAACTCAAAACAAAATTAGTTATAATCCTAAGAGTCTTTTACCTCAAATAGCAAGTTTCATTAATCACAGCTTAAAGTCAGATACAGTGAATGTTACTGTCATGGAGTTGCAATAAGTAATAAAGATTTAGTAGGACTCACATATATAAGACATTTCACTATACATCTTTAATAAATTCCAAACTATGAAAAACTGCTTGACATAACAATACAAAAGTTTACCAATTGGAAACAATACTAGATTTTTAAAACTTGAAACAAACACATTACCAATCAGAATGAACTATCTTTTGGTTGTGTTCCAATACATAAAAACTTTTTTCTTTGCTCTAAGGGGAAAAGATTCACCCTCCTTTCCTTTTTCTCTTCCTCTCTCCCGCACTCCAGCCCTGGTCAAGTTGGGCGCCACAACCCAGCCAAAGCTGAATGCAGAAGAGAGGAAGAGAAAATTTTCCGACAACTTTTCTTTCTTGTCTTTCACTTCACATTCAAAACTTGGCCAGAGCTAGAATGTAAAGAGAGAGAGGGAAAAAAAATTTTTCCAACAATTCTTTAAGTTTCCAAATCTTTACTCTCAAAACCTCTGTTCACACTGTTCATGCAAATAGCTTATGCTTTTCTTTCTACCCATACTTCTTTCATTCCTACGTGCTTAAACTTTCTTGCCTTTCCTTCTACCTACTGATCGCTCTGATGGACTTTGATTAAAGTCCTCTTAAACTTGCACATATCTTATTTCTTTCTAATTCTGACCTGACACTTCGAGGATCCTTCTAAACTTGTGTTTTACCAATCATATAACCTAAATAATAAAGTATTTTTCTCTCTTTCTCTCTCCCATCCACCCGCTCCTGTGAAGCGGCTGGCATTAAGGAGGGAGAAGGGGAGAAAGAAAGTGGCATTCTAGAGTCCAGCTGCGGCCCTTGGAATGCTATTCTTGCTACCTGGTTACAAAGGGCATCAGATTACATGTGGACACTCACTCATACCGTACAGACAAACACAGAAACAGATGCACAGTAGTGGCAGGGAGAATTTAAAAGCTCAGAGAGATTTGTTAGAAATTTCTTGCACAAAATCAAACAATTTTTTTTTTCATGGTTCTCCAGATGTTATGGAGACCAGGAAAAATTTTCCTTAAGGTCTTGGAGAATGAGCTTTCTCCAGGGAGAACTCACTTTAACCAAATGAGAGGAAAGAAAACTTGAAGGTATTGCTCTCGATCTTTAAATTGAGTCTGACCCATTTAAAAGGAGAGCAGAAAAATCCCTGAATAAGCCTAGTGTTGTGTTTCTTTCAACACGAATGAAATTCCTTTATCCTCTATATCATTTGTTGTAGTGGAGCTCCGATCTGGTAAGGCGCTGCTGTGTCATGTTCAACATCTTCGATCTCCCCGGGTTAAAAGTGATCCCTGTCCAGGGTTCTGTTAGTCCCTGGTCGGGTGCCAACTTCCAGCAGCTGGCATGGTGCAGGACAGAGCAGTGAGGAAAATGGAGAAGGGAAACAGAGAAAGGAAAGTCGGGTTAGGTGAGTCTTAGAGGTTAATGTTCAAGACTAGTTTATTTCAGGTATTTTCTGATTATATACCCATAGAAAAACAGCTTTGTACCATGAGAAATGATCTACAAGCGCTAATTAATAACATACACAAACTAAGCAGCTAAAGATCCTCATTTTCTCATGAGAAAGTAGTTTTAATGCCAAAATTCATATCTATTGTTTTCCCTGCCCAGTTCTTAGTATTATCTGCCTGAGTCAGCCACCTGGCCTCAAGGCTGGGCATGAGTGAGCACTTGGAATCAACAAACTATAGCAGACGTAATTAGGGCTAGAGTCAAGGGAGCGTTTATCCCAAGGCAAGCCTCTATACTACTGACCCCTTAAGTCTATAAGGACTTAGAGATTTTCCCTAAGGACTTGTCTCCCAACAGTAGGTTATACATATACATTCCTATTAAACATATTTTCACATTAGTCATGTTATAAAGAAGAATTAGAAGGAACCACAAGAAACAGGAAACGAAACAGAAGAAAAACAAAGCAAATAGTATGCTTTGACCCGCATTCAAACTCCATAGGTCTTTCTTTGGATGTGAATAGCATTTTCCATCATGAGACTTTTGGAGATTTCTTAGATCCTTGCTTTGCTGAGAAGGGCTAAGTCTATCAAAGTTAGTCATTGTACAATGTGGCTGTTACTGTGTTCTCCTGGTTCTGCTCACTTCACTCAGCATCAGACCATACAAGTCTTTCCAGGTTTTTCTGAAGTCATCCTGCTCATCATTTCTTATAGCACAATAGTATTCCATTACATTCATATACCACAACTTGTTCAGCCGTTCCCTAATTGATAGGCATCCTCTCAATTTCCAATTCTTTACCACCACAGAAAGAGATGCTATAAATGTTTTTGTACATGTAGATCCTTTTCCCATTTTTATGATCTCTTTGGGATACAGCCCTAAAAGTGAATTTAGTGTAATCACAGTTATCCATTTTGCATTTCATAATGTTCTCTTCTCTCTTGTTTGGTCATAAATTCTTCTGTTCTCCATAAATCTGACAGGTATACTATTCCTTGCTCTCCCAGTTTGCTTATAGTATCAGCCTTTATATCTAAATTGTGTACCCATATTTACTTTATTTTGGTATATGGAGTAAGATTTTGGTCTATGCCGAGTTTGTACCATATTCTTTTCTAGTTTTCCCAGCAGTTTTTGTCGAATAGTGAATTCTTATCACAGAAGCTGGGGTTTTTGGGTTTATCAAACAGTAGATTACTATAGTCATTGACTACTGTGCCTTGCATACCCAACCTATTCCACTGATCCACCACTCTATTTCTTAGCCAGTACCAAGTAGATTTGATGATTGCTGCTTTATACTATAATTTAAGATCTGGTATGGCTAGGCCACCTTCCCTAGCATTTCTTTTCATTAGTTCCCTTGATATTCTGGACATTTTGTTCTTCCAAATGAATCTTGTTATTTTTTCTAGCTGTATAAAATAATTTTTGGTAGTTTGATTGGTATGGCACTGAATAAGTAGATTAACCTAGGCAGAATTGTCATTTTTATTATATTAGCTCAGCCTACCCATGAGCAACTGATATTTTTCCAGTTATTTAGATGTGACTTTATTTGTATGAAAAGTGTTTTGTAATTGTGTTCATATAATTACTGGGTATGAGTTTTTTTTATAGGTTCACAGAACACTTGATAATACTGAGTTCAGTTGGTTTTGCATTTGCTTGTATGATATGTTCTGTTCATGTACTTTTCTATTTCTTAACTGTACCAAATAGTTTTGATGATTGCTTTGATGAAGCCTTCTTTGGCTGTTTCCACTTATATCAATCTGTGAGGTTTCTGAATTTCCTTTAGCACTTAATTGTCTGGACCATTCATTTGTGTATTTAATAATTACATCACCTTGTTTTGTTAGCTGACTGTATCCTGTATGTCTTTCTTTTCTCTTCAGCTAACTTATAAATTCTTAAAAGAAAGGAGCATTTTAAAAAATTGTCTCTCCTACCTTCTATCTTCCACAGTACTTAAAACAGTGCTTTTTATAGAGTAGCAACTCAGTAAAATTTGTCAGATTTTATTTAGACCTATGCAGCATCTTAATATGCTGAGTTAATTTCTTTCTCCCTCCTCCATTTCCTTGGCAGTATGTGGGAGCTCCAGTGGCCTATATCCAGCAGATATTTGTGAAATCCACCGTTTCCCCCTGGCACAAGAACTTACTGGCAGTGGATGTGTTCCGTTCACCTCTCTCCCGGGTATTCCAGCTGGTAGAGGAGATCCGAAACCATGTGCTGAGAGACAGGTATTCTGAAACAGTTGAGGTCTGGGTCCTTTTAGATTTGCTAACATTGTTCCTTGCCCACAAACACTATGATTAAGCTTGAGTCTCTTCTCCAAATATAATTAGGTAAGCCAGTCAGTTCATAGAAACAAAAAGAGCAGTTGCCTTACAGAATTGCTTACCTCTTCATAGATTGTTTTCCTTTGAATTCTTGTGGTTGTTAATTGCATGTGGTGTCAGCTGCATTTCAGTCCCATGTCTGCCTGCTTTGACTTTGATGCAAGCATCTCTCAAGTGGTTTCTGCTTCTCTTTGGGGGACATCCAGGTTTAGAAAGCATCTGTAAGGAATCCTTCTAAAACAGTGGTGTTAGATTCAATTAGGAACGAACCACAACTTAACGTATCTGTGTTATATTGTATTTTTATTTTGTTAAACATTTCCCAGCTACCTTTTAATCTGGCTCTTTTGCTCTGACAACCTTGAGCTTGATATCTCTGCTGAAGACTAATAGTTGTTTGGAACTTGTATTCTTTCTGTTGTGATTTGAAGATGATATCCTCTTCTAAGGGTCTGTTATGTGCAGTGTATACAGTATACAAATACTGTATAGTATCTGTGAGTCATGAGAAGACCTAAAATGGATAAAAATGGATTAAGCATGTCATAAGTATGATGCCATGTGACTGAAACTCCACCACAGATCTCAGGAACCTTGTCTGTCATTTATATTAAATATTCTTTTCATAGACCAGCATTCTCTGCTTCTGAGCCAAGCATGGAAGTTTTTCAGTTATTCATTTGACTTTTTACTATCCAGTTCTTTGCTAGAAATTTCAGGGATCAAAACTGGCTAAATCATTACAACCTCCTGTTAAATTGTTTCACTTGCTAACCTAAATTGGTGTTGTCCAGGACCCATAAATTCTTGTAGTTCCAGAGTATATACAGCATTACTTTTGTGTGAAAGAAAAACCAGTTAGTTTCTTAATGTGTTATTTTACACGCAGATTTTTTTTTGACAAAGTGTATTTAGAGTTTCCCATCTTCAGTCATAGGATCATAGATATTAGAACTGGAAGGGACCCAAGAGCTCATTTAATCCATCTCCCCATTTTTATAGGTTCAGAAAAGGGAAATGATTATTCCATTTTCATCTGGAAAGGACCTTAGGGGTCATCTAGTTTAGCCTCATTTTACAGATAAAGAAACTAATGCCCAGAGTGGAGATTTAAATTGCCCAAGGTCCCACAGAGTAGTAGAACCAAGAGTTGAACACAAATTCTTTTATTCCATATCCAGTGCTTTTTCCACTCTGTCATGCTGCCTCTGTCTTAGGGTCAGTTCTCTCCCGTTTTTGTCTTTGTTTTCAATTTTTTTAAACTAGTCACACCATTTCTTTAATTTTATAGTAGTCCAGTTTAGAATGTGATCACCTTGGACAAGATACAGTCACTGTTGCCATTTTTGTATCTTACATAATGTCTTGTATATAGCACGCTTTTAATAGATATTTATTGAATTAGGCTTTTTTTCCTGAAGTTAACTCTTTTCCCCCACACCCAACAGGAAAGAAAAGTAGGTGAGATGGTTGAGTTGGCAATACCAGATATTGGACATTTGAAGCATTGTGGGGCTTTGACCTTAAACTTGTTAGGTTCAGTGCCTGGGTAAACAGTCTCCCTTCCTATCCCTTGAATCCTTAGGATTCAAGACAGAGGTTTATTTTATATTCTTTCTTTATTTCTCCTTTCACTGTAGATGGGCCTTAACAGCACCTAAAGAAATACTGTGATATGAAACACTGTGGGAAATACTAGCTACTATTTCATGTCCTATTAACAGATTTTCCCATTCTCTGGCTATATTGGAATTAGTGAGAATGATAATAGTGAATTACTAGATTCTGCTATTTGCAACCTAATGAGATTTGATAGATGTGATGTCTCTGGTCCATAATGGTAGAGGACAATGACTTGTTTTGTACTTTCTCCCTGGGTAGCTCTGGGACCAAGAGCCTAGAGGAAGTGTGCCTGCAAGTGACTGATCTCCTGCCAGGCCTAAAGAAACTTAGGAATTTGCTTCCCGAGCATGGCTGCCTCCTGTTGTCACCTGGAAACTTCTGGCAGAATGATCAGGAGCGTTTCAGTGCTGACCCTGATATTATCAAAACCATCTATCAGCATGAACCAAAGACCCTTCAGACTTCTGCAACCCTCAAAGGTACACACAGCCTTGCTCTGCCCTGCTGTAGTTCCCTTGTTAGATGACTCCTCGGCTCCATGTAGCCTTCAGAATGGGCAGGGTCAGAGCAGGGTGTTCATTCTTGCTGTGTGTCAGACACAACACTGAATGACACCTGGGTGTTGATCCTTGGTGACTTGTTTACTTTTTCTGTTTATGTCTATAGACTTGTTGTTTGGAGTACCGGGAAAATATAGTGGGGTGAACCTGTACACTAGGAAGAGGATGGTGTCTTATACCATTACCCTGGTCTTCCAGAAATACCATTCCAGGTAAACCTGCCAGTGTTTGGGATCAGAGGTCATCAGGGATTAGCAGGGCCATTTTTTCAAGTAGGTAGCCACCTGTATGTATTTCTTCACTGTACCTGAAATTTTACTGTTATAGATGGTACAGGTAGTTTATTCTTTTGAGTTTTGAAGATTTTTCAGTCTTAAAGAGCCCCCTGTATAATACCAGGTGCTCTTGGGAAGGGTAATACTAAGGTCTTATCTGCTAGCAGTTTAGTGGGGATTAGCTAAAGAATTACTTATAAGCAAGGCCTAGATAATTGTGGGATTGAAGGGATGAGGAAAAGGAGATCTAAAAGGGGAGGAGGGAGGTAACTGAAACAAATTTGGCCTACTACACAGTTTTTAAGTGGGAGTAGAATTCAAACTTAGTGTGTCTCTTCCCTAATACATAAAAGAGGCCCTCACCGCACCTCTCCTCCCAGAGGCTGCTTTTGGGCAGAAGGGAACAACTGTATCCTGTTCTCTCCTCCCATCTCTATGACCAGGTATCTGAATAGCCTTCGGGCACGACTAAAGCTGTTGCACCCTAGCCCCAACTGTAGTCTTCGGGAGGAGAATTTGGTGCATGTACATTTCAAGGAAGAAATTGGCATTGCTGAGCTCATTCCCCTCGTCACCACCTACATCATCCTTTTTGCCTACATTTACTTCTCTACAAGTAGGTCCAAGATGGGTTTAGGGGCTAATCTGTTGATGTTAATTGGGACTATTTCTCAACTCACTTCTCAGGCCTGAGTGTTTTTATGGGCAGGGGTCTTGCTTGTACCCAGGTAGTGATAGAAAAAAAAATTATGTGTGCCCATCTTTGGGTAAGTCATCACCTCTGGAACTCACATTTTCTCCATTATAGAGGGAGGGGGCTGTACTAGGGTCTTAGCATCCTTGCCATTTTTGTCATTTTATAAGTCTTTAATGGCCCAATGGAACAAGGCTGTCCCTCTAAGCACTGTATTCTGGGACTTGTATAGGCAGAGTTACATCTCTGGAGAAATCTTGTCCATGGTAGAGCATTCTGAGTTCACCTGTAAAAATGGCTTACCCTTTCCATTCCACCTGATTGGTAAATTTATTTCACCAGTGCCCTCGTGGGTTCTATCTCTATGTTAAAGCAGAAGGGCCTTCCAATGGGGGAATCTTAGCTAGTCAAGTAAAAGGGGAATACCGTGGAGAAAATAGAGAAGAGATATAAAGTTGTGCATCTTCCTTTTGATGAGGGGCATCTCTCCTGTGTCCTTTCCTTTTTAGGGAAGATAGACATGGTGAAATCGAAATGGGGTTTGGCGCTGGCGGCAGTGGTGACTGTCCTCAGCTCTCTGCTGATGTCTGTAGGGCTCTGTACACTCTTTGGCCTGACACCAACTCTCAATGGCGGGTGAGTTCCATGGCCTAGGTTGGCCAGCTTAGTCTGAAGTGGTGCAGCGATCACCTCGCTACACTGTCTGACCTGCTTCCTTTGAAGCTTTGGTGGTCTCTTCATGTTGAATTTGGTAACATGTCATGCCCAACTTTTTTTTTTCAAAGATAAAATGACTAATTTGATATAGCCATATACTACTCTTAATTTTAAAACCATTTAAGAATTCTAACTTACAAATCAAATAATTTTTTGAGAGCAAGTTTTTTTTTCTTTTCAAAGAAAATAACTGCCGGGTTACAATATATTAATTTTTTTCTCACTAATCTTTAACTTTTATATTATCAACTTATCTTGACTGTCAGTGTATAATCGAAAGCTCTTCCCATTGGTTTGTCCTTAATTATTGTCAAAACAGCCCAGGCCGCTTCTTGCTTACAAGTCAGTATTAGTCTTTTCACTGTGTCTCAGCTGTTCAGGAAAATCCCTAGTGTTTTCGTTTGTTTTTTCCAGTCCTCTCTTCTTAGCTTGTGTGGCTGAAAAGAGAATTGTAAAGGGTACAGTGACATACAGCAGAGAATGAAACCTGAAACTCCAGCCACTCACATACATACATTTTATTAACCAGAAAGAGTTTTCTTTTTGGTGTCATTGTTCTTAGTTTCTCCTTTCTCTTTGCCTTGCTTGGAAAGGCAGTAGGCAGCATGTCCTGGTACAAATTGTTGGGTTTGGATTCTGCTCTGATATACTTCATTTAGGAAGGCCTTAGTTTCTCCATTATATCTTCAGCATTGTTGTAAGGGTCAAACCAGATGATACATAAAATGCTTGGCAAATTTTTTTTTAAGGCTTTTGGGGTTAAGTGACTTGCCCAGGGTCACACAGCTAGTGTCAGGTGTTTGATCTGAGGACAGATTTGAACTCACGTTCCCCTGACTCCAGGGCTGGTGCTCTATCCTCTGCGCCACCTAGCTGCCCCCTAAATTTTTTTTTAAGTTCCAAAAATGCCAAGTGGTTGTATTAGTACTATGACTCATCCGGAGCTTCTATTTAGGCATAATTTGATTTTTCATAAGATACAGGGGCCCTCATTATCCAAATCTCTCCAAGGTTTCACTTTTGTTTTGGTCTGGACCTGTGACTCCATTGATGTAGGGAATGTCAATTAATGAATGCAGATCAAATTAAGTCAGCAGGCACTTACTGGCTACCTGCCTAGCCAGTGTGTATCAAAAGGCTGAATTTGAAGGGAGGTCTGTCTTTCTGACTCAAAAGTCACTATGCCACGTTCTTCTCCCTCCCCCGCTAGTAAGGAAAACAGAGAATAATTTTAATAAGAAACTATTCACTAATGAATTGACCATTTCTAAAAATAGGCCCCACTCAAACATCCCTACCCATTTAACACTATTGTCTATCCCTGATAAGCTAGTGTGTTAATCAGTTAGTCTCCCATAGTCTTGTTAGGTCCCTCTATCTTAATGTCAGTAGAATTATTTGAATAGCAAAGAATTAAGCAAAGGTTCTTGTGAAATTTGATGAAGTCCTCAAATCTTCTTGACCTTTTTGTAAATGACTCTTTTTCATGCTGTGAAAGTTA